GGAGAGAGGTGTGGATCTGCTTAAGTCTTCTGCAGATAGTTTTCCAATTCTGCCAACACCATTTGTTAAAAAGGCTATCGTTGACTCTTGGTGCCTCTGCAGCACACAGTAGAATTCCTCCGTAGAATGTTATAAGCTGTAATTGTTACAAGAGAAGCCCTAGTGGCATAGTGCATAATGCCTCAGGCTGCGAACCAAAAGGTCAGTGAGCCCATCAGCTGCTCCTTGGAGAATATATGAGCAATCTCCTCCTGTAAGTATTTATGGGGGGGAGGGTCAGGGGGAACGGTGTGGTGGGGATAGTTAAGGCCTCAGAAACCCAACAGAGGATCACTGTGGGTTGGAATTGGCTCAGTGACAGTGGGTGATCTTTACAGGAGCAAATCATCGGGGATTTTCTCCCTAAGACCCACTGGTGGTTTCACACCAGCCATCTTTCTGTCAGCAGGCAAGCCCTTAACTATGGCGCTGCCAATGTTCCTTCACTAAAGTCCTAGGATCCAAATAGTTTTCTTTTTAAGGAGAAAAGCCAATGTAGGAACTTGAAGACAAGTGACAAGAAGTGTGTTGAGGGTTCCAATACTATTAACCACCTGCTAACCCTCTCTCCACCTGACCCCACCATCATTAAAGAAAAGCCTCTTTCTTATGCTAGAATTGAGCTTCTCAGCCCTACACACAATCTTTCTGCATCACTTGGGCATGTTGCTAGGAGAGGCTATTCCTTGGAGAAGGGCATCATGCTTAGAAAGATGAGCGGATAACAAAGGAGAGGAAGACCATCAACCAGGTGGATCGACTCCTGGGCTGAGGCAATAGGCTTGAGGGTGTCAGAGCTTGTGAGGTTGGCACAGGATAGGACAGGGTTCAGATCTGTTGTTCACAGGGTCACTATGAGCCATAGTCGACTCAACAGCACCTAACAACAGCCCCCTTCCCCTTACCTTCAGAATGAAACCCATGTTCATGTCTGTAGTTAGCACAGAGAAGGAGAGTCTAAGCACAGGACTGGGAACATGTTTGAGTCCTGGTTCTTCCAGTCATATGTAAATTGTAACTTAATCTGCCTGTTTGCCTGAAAAGGGAGTATCTGGGTGTGAATTATTTTTTTTCAAGATGTTTGGTCTAATCCTACCAGATCTGTCTACCCGTGTTTTTACTTCATGATGCCACACTCACCTCCTTGCCCTATAAACACTACTCACTCTGGACATCTTTCCACCCCTATCTCCAAGTCTGAATCCCAGACGATATATCTCAAATGCAGCCACTACTCACTCATCCATCAAGGGAGGTGTCACTGTTGCGCGGATGCAAAATAGGTTTCAGTGGAGCATCCAGACCAAGACAGACTAGGAAGAAAGGCCTGGTGATCTAAATCCCACAAAAACTACCAATAGAAACCCTGTAGAATCACAATAATCCAAACCTGTCGTGAACAGAGTCTTCGGGAGTTAAGAGCCTCCTTGGCAGTGGCTAACAACATCATACCGGACAGCAGCAACAAGAAAGAACTCCCACATTCTTTTGTATCCAAGAAAATTGTTTCAATGCTGCAAAGAACTGACCACAGAAACTTTGGTAATATCTTCCTTATGTGTTTAAATAGGCAGCTCTGGTGGCCTTTGGCTTTGATCTGACTTTATTTTGACTTTGTTTAAATAGCTCCCTGACTTTCTCTCCCTCAGGCTTTATTCCAGGAGCCTCATCAGAGAATCCCTTCTTCTTCTCTCCTTCCCCCTAGGGTCTCCCTAATCACAAGCAAGTCAAATTACCCTAATGGTAAATGAGATAAACGACTCAATCTGAAGCAGAAAAGGGAGGTGGGCACCAAAGTCTCACCAGTTGTGAAAGGATTAACTGGGAGGGAAGGGATTAGCAAGTAAGGATATATTAACTAGTCTGAAAGCTTGGAGGGAGGGTTTGAGATTCTCTGATGCTGTGTTCCAGAGGCCACAAAACCAAGAAAACAAATAAAAACCTAACTCACTAGCTGAATGTGAAAAGGACTTGAGTCACTTTCTGCAAAAGATTGAAGACAAAAATCCTCACCTTTGGACCAATAGACAATATAGTGATAGATGGAGAAAAGGCTGAAGTTATTAATTCCTTTATTCCTTTATTTTACTTGTATCCACAACACTGCAGCAGCAGCCAAAGTTGATTGGGAAAATCTGCCCTCAAGCACCTCTCCAAAGTGCTTGATCCAAACACACTTTCATTTCAATTGCTTTCTATGTATCTAAAGTTGGACAATAAATAAAAATAACAGAAGAATTAATGACTTTGAACTGTGGTGCTGGAGAAGAATTCTTTTGACTGTCAATATAAACAAGTCTATCTTGGAGCAAGTACAACCAAGGTGCTCCTTAGAAGTAAGGATGGTGAAACTTCATCTCACATACTTGGGGCATATTGTAGTCAGTCTTTGGAAAAGGACATTATGTGAGTAAAGGTAGAGGGCCAGAGAAAGAGTGGAAGATTTCTAACAAAATAGATTGATAAAGTGATTCTAACAAAGGGCTGGAGTATTTCAGAAATCATGAGGAAGCACAGGAGAGGATGTTCAGATCATGATGAGTCACAGGTAATTTGATAGTACCTAACAAAATCATCTTCAAGTCTGTTCCCTTACTGGAAACATCTGCTTTTAAAAAATATCTGAAACAGATATCAATTTGATCTAATGTTAACTTTAAATGATAAATTTTCTTTTTAATTTTTTTTTTAATCTAGCATGGATCATAACAAACTGCGGGTGACTCTGAGAAGAATGGGAATCCCAGAACATTTAATCATGCTAATGCGAAACCTATGCTTGGACCAAGAGGCAGTCGTCAGAACATAGCAGGGCAACACTGCATGGTTCAAAATTGGGAAGGGTGTACGCCAGGGATATGTCCTATCTCCATACCTTCTCAACCTGTATGCAGAGCAGATTATCCGAGAGGCTGGCCTCTAAAAAAGATTGAGATTGTTCACAACTTCAGTTTGCTCGGCTCCACAGTCAACACTCTTGGCACCAGCAGCCAGGAAATCAAAAAAACGTATTGCGATGGGAAAGTCTGCTGTTAGGGACCTCTCTAAAGTACTCAAGAGCAACGGTGTCTCTTTGGAGACTAAGGTGCGCCTGATACAGGCCATGGTTTTTGCAATCACTTGTTATGCATCAGAGAGCTGGACAATGACTAGGGAGGACAGAAGGAGAATTGACCCCTTTGAGCTGTGGTGCTGGAGAAGTGTGTTGAATGTATCATGGACTGCCAAGAAAACAAACAGATGAATCCTAGAGAGGGTTAAACCAGGCTACTCCTTGGAGGCAAAGATTCTGGGGCTTGTCTGACATACTTTGGACATGTTGCAAGGAGAGACAGGTCTTTGGAGAGGGACATCATGCTGGGTAGAGTAGAAGGACAGCGCAGGAGGGGAAGACCCTCTATGAGGTGGACTGATTCAGTGACTGGGGTAATCGGGATGGGTGTGTCAGAGACAGTGCGATTGGCACAGGATAGAGCAGGGTTTAGGGCTGTTGTACATAGGGTCGTTATGAGTCACAAACGACTCGACGGCACATAACAACAACAGTGCCCTGGGGCCGCTGAGTTCCAAGCAGAGAACGTTAAGTACAAAAATAATCTACAAATTTAAGAAGTTATTTTTATTTCCAAATCCCAGGAAAGTGACACAAACCAAGTCAAGACTGTCAGGACGGCAGAATTTTGAATGTTCATTCTGTCCAATAAAATGAAAGCTAGGACGCAGGGAGGCGGGCTCCGCCTCCGTGCGCCCAACCGCTGATGTCTGCAAACACATTGCAGGGTGTGAGACCACCCAGCCGTTCCCAAGCCTTTTGGTGGAATATTCAGTTCTACAGGGCTGTTGGCCTAGTGTTTGCGGGATCAGACCTTAGTTTTAATCTAATTTTCAAGAGGTCAGCTGGAACCATTTAGTTTGATACTAATTAGAGATAACCTGACAAAGCGCCAAGACAGAACTGCAGGAAGAATGCAATCAAACATACAGAAGAGTAAAATGTGTTCTAGATTATAAAGCTAAACCAGTCATTTCTCAGGACCTTCGAGTCCCAAAGGTTTTAAAAGCTTTGTGTCATCATCTATGGTGTTTAAAAGACTATACTGACTTACTTTGTAGACGACACAATTTTTATTTAAAGGACGTGAATAAGGCTCTTTTCTTGTGATTTGGTGGTGGCTCTGAAAAGAGCCTTTGAGAGCAGAGACCAGCAACTCGAGTGAACGCCTCGTCCCAGGAGGGGACTCACTTGGAGCTGGTGTACTTGGTGACAGCCTTGGTGCCCTCGGACACGGCATGCTTGGCCAGCTCGCCAGGAAGCAGCAGGCGCACGGCGGTCTGGATCTCCCGGGAAGTGATGGTCGAGCGCTTGTTGTAATGTGCCAGGCGGGACGCTTCTCCGGCGATGCGCTCGAAAATGTCGTTAACGAAAGAGTTCATGATACCCATGGCCTTGGACGAGATGCCAGTGTCGGGATGGACCTGTTTCAGCACCTTGTACACGTAGATGGAATAGCTCTCCTTTCGGCTGCGTTTGCGCTTCTTGCCATCTTTCTTTTGGGCCTTAGTGACTGCTTTTTTGGAGCCCTTTTTAGGGGCGGGAGCAGATTTAGCAGGCTCAGGCATAGTAAAACACTTCTTAAGAGTGAGAGGTTCGGGAAACGGGCGGGCCAGAATATTTTATAACTGCCTTATGCAAATTAGGGTTCCAAAAGTCCTTCGTTTTAATTGGGCCAAGTAGGGAGCTTGGCTATCCAATAATAGCGCGTAACAATGACAACGTCTAATCTTATTGGCTGTTTCTGGAGCCAATCTAGGACCAATGAAAACCTCGTTCTTGACCCCACCCCCTAGGAAAGCTTATAAAAACTTCCTCATTGCTATTGCTAGTTTTGTTTTGTTGGGAGATACAGAGTATTGGTGTTTGCTAGGTCTTTTTTTTTTCCTGTGCATTCTTAATTTTAGCAATGTCAGGACGGGGAAAGCAGGGAGGTAAAGCCCGCGCCAAGGCCAAGTCGCGCTCGTCCCGCGCAGGCCTTCAGTTTCCAGTGGGCCGAGTCCACCGTCTATTGCGCAAAGGTAACTATGCTGAGCGTGTCGGAGCTGGCGCGCCTGTCTACATGGCAGCTGTGCTCGAGTACCTGACGGCGGAAATCTTGGAGCTCGCGGGCAATGCTGCCCGCGACAACAAGAAAACTCGCATCATTCCCCGGCATCTCCAGTTGGCCATCCGCAACGATGAGGAGCTCAACAAACTGCTGGGCAAAGTCACTATCGCCCAGGGCGGCGTTTTGCCTAACATCCAGGCTGTTTTGTTACCAAAGAAAACTGAAAGTCACAAAGCTAAGAGCAAATAATTACTGATACACACTAAACCAAAGAACAAAGGCTCTTTTTAGAGCCACCCAAGTTTTCAAAGAAAGAGCTAATGCGCTAATTAGTGGTCAGCCCTTAAAAGAGTCACTTTGGTGGCTCTTAAAAGAGCCTTTGGGGTGAATGGGGATGGTATAGACCCTCTCAATTATTTATTCTTGCCAGGTTTGTGACTCTCCGTTTTCTTGGGCAACAAGACCGCCTGAATGTTTGGCAAAACGCCGCCCTGGGCAATAGTGACACCCCCGAGTAACTTATTGAGTTCTTCGTCGTTTCTCACAGCCAGCTGCAAATGGCGGGGAATGATGCGAGTCTTCTTGTTGTCTCGAGCAGCGTTGCCCGCCAGCTCCAGGATTTCCGCTGTCAGGTACTCGAGCACCGCCGCCAGGTACACGGGCGCGCCGGCCCCGACCCGCTCGGCATAGTTACCTTTGCGGAGTAGGCGGTGGACGCGACCCACCGGGAACTGAAGGCCCGCGCGGGATGAGCGCGACTTGGCCTTAGCGCGGGCTTTACCACCCTGCTTTCCCCGTCCTGACATTACGGATGGAAATGTAACCACAGCTTTTTCAAGGAGAAAGCTGTGGAAGGATAACCAATTTGATGTCATTTATAAGCGCTACCGGGAGGGGTGTCGTTTGATTGGCTGAACAGTTAGCCAGCTCAGCCAGCCAATGAGAAAACAGAGAACGGATTCTTCGTTTGCATCCTGCATTGCGAGAAATGACGACTTGCGTGAGGACCTACCAATCACTGGAAGCCACATTAAAGTCTCTTATTTGTATGCCAGAATTTTAAAGGAGAGGTGATTTTGAAACAGAATACTGGGCTTTTTTTTTTTTTTTAAGTGATTAGCAATTTGTAAATTCTTTTCCCAGTTCATAGAAATACTAAGAAGGACCGGAAGTGACTGCAGAGGGTCTCAAACGGATGTCAAGAGTTACACCCACTGTAGGGACTGGATTCTGAATCCGATTACACCTCGATCCCTAAATTATCCCCTTAAGTTCCTCACTTTCTATCTTGTCACAACCAAACTCCAAGAAACCGGAATCTTTGCCTCTCAATTCCGCGATGGCTGCCTGGAGGCTTCGCTCCACCCCCGCCCGCCTCCGTCTTGGATCCGTCCTGACCCGGGGCTGGATTTTCCATTTTTCTCTCGACCTACAGGAGGCGTCCTATGCCGTCTTGAAACTTGCTCCCGTGGCTTTGAAAATGTCTCCTGGATTTCTTACCTCTAACTTTTCCGTGCCTTGTCAATATTTAAATGCCCTTGTCTAGCTGAGCTTTGCCTTTGCTTTCCTCATCATTCTTCATTATTCCTGAGGATTGTTTCCTATTTCCTTCAACTAATATTGAAAGAGGTTTTACAAGCACAGACTTTATACCTACCGGATAACGGAATACTTAAATGTATTGAGTACTTAAGTGTACCTCAAGCTGTCCCTAATTAATCGTGATCAAATTTATCTGAACAATTTCTTCCTTTCTGTCCTTTACCCTCCTGCCCCCTGAATTGTACCAAGGATCCTTCAGGTACTTAAACCAGAATACTAGTCTACCCTCCCCTTAATGTCAGCAGGATATCCAATTGCTTCCTTAGCGCTTCATTTTCCTCCTAGACTTCAAAAACAGCACCTATAGATAATTTTGCCTGCTGTCTCTATCTCTTGCATGTATCCACCATCCACCTCTCATAATAATCTTCCTGAATAATCTCCTGCGTCTTTCTCCCCTTATTCCCATCTCTGGAAGTTCTAAATTCTTCATCCATTTTAACCACCTTGAATTTTAGTTTATGAACCTTTTAAAAAAATATTATTTTATTCTCATCTCTATTCAAATAACATTAAGTATCACACATAACTGAGACTAGCCCATATACTTTGGGCATATTATCAAAAGAGGCCAGTCCCTGGAAAAAGACATCATGCTTGGAAAGGTGGATGGTCAGAGAAAGAGAGGAGATGCATTAATGAGATGGACTGACACAATGACTTCGACAGTGAATTTAAACAAGGATTGTGAGAATGAATCAGAATTAGTCAAGCTTTAGATCTCTCTCCAGCAGGTTTTCAGAGGCAGTAATCACTTGGCTGGGTAGGATATGAATCAGGCGCCTTTGGGATTGCAGCACTGTTTTTTGCCACTAGGCCACCAGAGAGAGCTCCACAGAACACATCTAATCAAAGATGATGGAGTGTTCCTCAAAAGTAGAAAGGAACTAATTATAGTTTTAACTCAGTTGTATTATATCCTCATCAGTTAATAGAAAGGTTTAGTTCTCATAGATCCTAAATAGGCTCTATTCCAGTAGGAATTGGTGTTTTTTCAGGACTAAGAGAATATATCAATCAGGTAAACATGAAACTTGGTCCTTGTTTAAGAAAAAATCAGGCTTTTTTCACACTCTGGATAGAATCAATCTGGATTTTTTTTTGGTTGGGTATAGTTTTGGGTTTCTTTTGTCTTTATATGTGTATGTATATATATGTAATTATGTGTATATATATGTAATTATATATATATGTGTGTGTATATATATATATATATAAGAGGGGCATCATAGTCGGCAAAAGGGAGGAAGACCCTCAACAAATGGACCGACACAGTGACTGCAGCAATTGAGCCAGAAGTTTCTTGGATTTGTGCTGCTGAACTGAACCTAGACTGTCACTTATTGAGGAGTTGTGCCTTATTAATCTGGCTTTAGAGTGCTGGACTAAAACTTGGACTTACCTTGTGTAATACTCTTTGTTTACCCCATTCTCCAGCCTATTTCCAAAAAAAAAAAAAACCCTCACAACTGTGAGTCAAGTCCATTGCAACACACATTTGGACTCAATAATTTGTAGAAATATGTGCAAAAGCATGTGGGGTGGCATGTCTGACCTTATAGCTGTATGTATGGTACTATGGCTATTATTGATGGGGACAGTTTCCCTCTGTGAAGTGGTTAGAAATCAGACTCAGCCTTCCTCATAGCCTCCTAAAGTCTACTATAAATTTAAGATATTAAAAGAGAGAAAAGAAAACCAGCAGAAAACCAAACAAAAATAAAACATTGGGGTTATCCAATGACTCCAAGTTCCACTCCTAAGTATGCACCTCATTTCTCCTATTACCATTGAATCTGAACCAATTTATGGCTGACCCTCCATTTGGGTTTTTGAGAGGCTGTAAATCACAGAAGGGAGTTCTGGTGGCCTTGTGGTAAAAAGCTGTGCTGCAATCCCAAAAGCATGTGGTTCAAATCCACCAGCTGAGCCCCAGGATAAGGATGGGCAGTCTCCTCCCATGCGATTTTTTTTAACTCCTGAAAACCCACTGAAGGATCAACCATAGATCAGTTCCAACTCAATGGTACACAACAACAACAAATCACAGGAGATTGTCCATCTTTCTTCCAATGAGCTGCTGATGGATTCTAACAACCAGAAAGGTGCCACCTTTGGGTTAGCATCCAAACTCCTAAAAACGTGAGATCCCAGCACACCACATAGAAAGGAATATTTATGTGCAATAAAACATAGAAGAACATAAGTTGATATAATACAATACTATACACCAATGAAATGAAAATGCACAAGTTATTATACACTCAATGTATTTCATAGAGCAAATGTTATCTTTGTTCTATGGTGTTAGAGAAGAGTGCTGAAAATCCTGTCGACTGCCCAAAGAACAAACAGATATGTCTTGGAGAAGGGGAAGCCAGAGTGCTTCTTGGAGGCTAAGTTTCTTACATACTTTGTGTAGTTTCTAAGACAGGCTATTTCTTAGAGAAGGACATCATGTTTGGAAAAGTAGAGGGACAGCTAAGGAGAGAAAGACCCTCAACCAGGTGGATTGATACTGCAGCAATCGGCTCCCATGTGCCATGAGGCTGACACAGGATAAGACAGGGTTCAAATTTGTTGTTCTTAGGGTTGCTATGGGTTGTACTCAACAGCACCTAACAACAACAATGTTAAGCAAAAGGGAGCTCGGTGGCTTAAGAGCAAGGAGTTGTGCTGCCAGCCCAAAGGGATCTTCCATGGGAAAAAGATGAGCAATCTCCTCTTGTGTGATTAACTGCTTCTGAAAACCTGCTGGAGGCTCAGCTAGCTATGAGTCGGTTCTGACTTGACAGTACATAAGAACAGCAATATTAAGCAAAAGAAAACAAAGGGATGGATTAAACCTATGATTAAAAAAATAATTAAAACTATGATTCACCTATATGAAATACAAAACAAGTGAAATTTATCTATGGTGAAAAGCTCAGAATAGTGGTCACCTTTGGCAATGATTTCATTTGTGCATGTTGGAGCGTTCTGAAACACTGAGATTTTTTATATGAGTGTATCCATATATAAAACTACACTGTATATTTAAAATTTACAAGTTGTTGTTAGGTACTGTCAAGTCAACTGAAACTCATAATGACGCTACGCACAATAGCTCTGAACCCTGCCCTATCCTGAGTCAATCTCATTGTCTCTGACACTCTTACCTTCATTATCCCAGTTACCGTCGATCCATCTAAATCTAGGATTCTTCCTCTCTTGTGCTGTTCCTCCACCCTTCAAGCATGATGTCCTTCTCTAAGGACTGGTACCTTCTGGCAACATGCCCAAAACATGAGATGGAGCTTCAGAATTCTTGCCTTCAAGAAGCTTGGTTTCATCCACTCTAGGACAAACCTGTATGTTCTCTTTGCAGCCCATGGTATGGTCAATACTCTTCTCCTGGACCACAATGCAAAGGTATCAATTCTTCTTCTGACATCCTTAGTCATTGTTCAGCTCTCTTTTGCATAGCAAGTAATTGCGAAGATGATGGCCAGTATCAGGTGTACCTTAGTCTCTATACTGACATCATTACTCTTTTGCACTCTGGAGAAGTTCCTGAGAGCAGATTTTCCTAATGCAATGTCTCTAGTGCCATGGCCTCTTCTAAGGTTAGCTTGTATTTCTGGTGGTTCTCTGTCAATGTACTGTTTCAATTGTTTTTTTATAATCTTCAGCAGGATTGTGCTTGCTTGTGCTATTAGTGATATTGTTCAATAATTTCCACACAGTGTCGGATCACCTTTTTTTTTTTAATATGAGAAAATATGGATCTCTTCCAGTTACTTTGCCAGGTAGTTTTTCTCCAGGCCCTGGACTGCCTGAGCCACTCCTCCCATTTTGTGCCCCTCCCCTGTCAGGGGGGTAGGAGATATTGGTGGGGATAGACAAGGGAACCAAGGGGGATGTTGGTGGAGTGAGGAGACAGGACCTAGTCACATGCACAGAAGAGGGTGGTGGGACCAACACTGAATCTGTTATTGAAAATGTATGTTGCTGTGTGCTATTGAGTTGGAACCAACCCATAGCTGACCCTCCAGCAGGTTTTCAGAGGCAATTAATAGATTGGAAAGAGATTGCTCATTCTTTTTCCGCGGAACAGCCAATGAATTCAAAGTGCGTGCTTTCAGGATTGCAGCACAGCTTCTTACCACTAGGCCACCAGTTTCTTTTATTTATGATTCCTCAATAAACATTTTTTTTCCCAATG